GATGTATACTTCCCGTCTGTAATCCTGTGCAGTATAAACCAGTATAAACTATTCTATTTACAGACACTACCACTGCACCCCTGACAGATGTATACTTCCCGTCTGTAATCCTGTGCAGTATAAACCAGTGTAAACTATTCTATTTACAGACACTACCACTGAACCCCTGACAGATGTATACTTCCCGTCTGTAGTGCTGTGCAGTATAAACCAGTATAAACTTTTCTATTTACAGACACTACCACTGCACCCCTGACGGATGTATACTTCCCGACTGTAATCCTGTGCAGTATAAACCAGTATAAACTATTCTATTTACAGACACTACCACTGCACCCTTGACGGATGTATACTTCCCGTCTGTAATCCTGTGCAGTATAAACCAGTATACACTATTCTATTTAAAGACACTACCACAGCACCCCTGACAGATGTATACTTCCCGTCTGTAATCCGGTAGAGTATAAACCAGTATAAACTATTCTATTTAAAGACACTACCACAGCACCCCTGACAGATGTATACTTCCCGTCTGTAATCCTGTAGAGTATAAACCAGTATAAACTATTCTATTTAAAGACACTACCACTGAACCCCTGACAGATGTATACTTCCCGTCTGTAATCCTGTAGAGTATAAACCAGTATAAAATATTCTATTTACAGACACTACCACTGCACCCCTGACAGATGTATACTTCCCGTCTGTAATCCTGTGCAGTATAAACCAGTATATTATTCTATTTACAGACACTACCACTGCACCCCTGACAGACGTATACTTCCCGTCTGTAATCCTGTGCAGTATAAACCAGATTAGAAAATCGCTATTCAGGGTAAGTGACATTTTTTGTGTCGAGGACATTTTAAGTAATCCTCTGTCGTGTTTAAAAAGAGTTTATCTGATTCTGAGTAAATTATCTGAAATTCAATTTTGTACTTCGGATTTTTTTTAAGTCATCAATATCAAATAAATGTTTTAACTTACAAAAAAAACATGTATATAATAACTCATATTTTATAAACCCTAGAGTCAAATTTCATTCAGGAAATCGGTAGAACCAAGAGAATGTTTTTGAAGGGAGATACCGGATATGTAACATATTTAAACTGAGAACATGCAGTATTATAAAGAAAACTTTTGAATTCATTTGATATCGATGAGACATTTTAACGGTGTAAGTTGTTTGTATTATTTTAGCATTGTTTCAGTCAACAGAAGAAACATTTTTTTATAGTTTTTTAATAACGTGGACGATATTAAGATGTAAAAAACATTTTTCAGCTAGGGTTGCTATAAGGAGGTTTTCTTTATTTTGATTTTGAAGATATCTGACATTTTGGAGAAATCTGTGAATAAAAATACAGAAACAGCTTAGGTAATGATGATAATGAAATAATCGACTCTACGGTTCTACTATGGCTTCCAAAGATTTTCATAGTTAATTTCTTTTCAGAAATATGTTCCTAAACATCAAATTAGTCAATTACGTGTTTTCTCTGGGCTATAAAATATTGGTAAAAAACGAATCTTCTGCTGACTGCAACAACTGGTGATATATTACAAATGACTTTACCCTCTTATTTAATAATTCTAAATCGTAAAAATGTCTCATTGGTATCATATGAATAATAAATTTTTCCCCATTTGGGTCGAACCTTTTTGTAAAAAAAAACTACAGGCGAGGTTGGGTTCCAAAGATTTAAAGAATAGTTTAACACAGTGCAAACCATCCCCCCCCCTCCCCGCCTAATCTAATCTTTTTCAGAGTTATTATTTTTAAGAAAATAATGTTTAATCTTTGTATTGCTTCTGAGCTGCTGAATCATTGTATGATAAGAGTTTTATTTTTCAATAGATTTTATTATTAATTTCTTAAGAAGGATGGAAGTCAATATTCTTTAACATTTAACAGAAGAACCTAGAGAGGAGAGAAGAAATAAGAACAAAAATATCTGTGACACACAAAAAATCATAAACTTACAAGTATTTATCACCCCTCCCATATAGTTCTTGTTCTAGAGTCTGGGTGTATCTTACTCCTCCCATTTGAACTATAGTTCTTGTTCTAGAGTCTAGGTGTTTCTAACTCCTCCCATATTGAACTATAGTTCTTGTTCTAGAGTCTGGTTGTATCGAACTCCTCCCATATTGAACTATAGTTCATGTTATAGAGTCTGGGTGTATCTAACTCCTCCCATATTGAACTATAGTTCTTGTTCTAGAGTCTGGGTGTATCTAACTCCACTCATATTGAACTATAGTTCTTGTTCTAGAGTCTAGGTGTATCTAACTCCTCTCATATTGAACTATAGTTATTGTTCTAAAGTTTAGGTGTTTCTTACTCCTCCCATATTGAACTATTGTTCTTGTTCTATTGTCTGGGTGTATCTAACTCCTCCCATATTGAAATATAGTTCTTGTTCTAGAGTCTAGGTGTATCTAACTCCTCCCATATTGAACTATAGTTTTTGTTCTAGAGTCTGGGTGTATTTAACTCCTCCCATATTGAACTATAGTTCTTGTTCTAAAGTCTAGGTGTATCGATCTAACTCCTCTCATATTGAACTATAGTTCTTGTTCTAGAGTCTAGGTGTATCTAACTCCTCCCATATTGAACTATAGTTCATGTTCTAGAGTCTGGGTGTATCTAACTCCTCTCATATTGATTTATAGTTCTTGTTCTAGAGTCTAGGTGTTTCTAACTCCTCCCATATTGAACTAAAGTTCTTGTTCTAGAGTCTGGGTGTATCTAACTCCTCCCATATTGAACTATAGTTCATGTTCTAGAGTCTGGGTGTATCTAACTCCTCCCATATTGAACTGTTCCTGCAGACCTTCTACTCCGGAAGAACAAGTTCTCTGACCCAGGAGGAGAAGATGATCATCACGGAGTTGGCCATGAGGTCAGACATTGTCATTTTTAATTAGCAATTTTTGGACCAATAAAAGATCAGGCATTGGTCGGGGGGAGGGGGGGGGAAGGACGTTAACAAATCCGCGAATTTTTTTCATTGTTCGATAATTTAAGAAGAGAAAATACCGCAGATAGAATTAAAAGTTAAAATCAAAGATGGGCGCAAATAGTTGATTCAAGAACATAATCTACATAGTTTGTTTTTATAATATATGAATTATGATACTTAAATTTTATTATGATCTGGTTAATATCGGCATTTACATGGTTTCCACTGTTCCTTTGGTAGACATTCCAGTGCAATAGATTTTGATTTAATTTTATAGAATTCATTATATATTCATTATATAGGGTTACCATCAAAGTTGACGGCATGGATATTTTAACATTCATGGCCCTTCCACCTGTAAAAGTTTTTTTTTTAAATAAAACCTGGGAAATCCCAAATTCTAAACAAACAAAAGTTTTATCCCTTCCCCACCCCAACTTCCCAAGCAAACAACCCTAGTTGCGCATCTGATATTCCAATTCACAGACTATATATATACAAACCGCTCATATGCTCTCATTGGCTAGGCTAATCAGGCCTTTTGTTGTAGCGGTGTGATGCCTGGAGATAACTCGTACCTGCAGCGAACTCTGGTTATGCTACGCGGCAAAGCGCAAGATTCTTTAAACATAAACAAACACTTGAATTTATGAAACAGATTTGTTTCAGTTCTAATATAATGATTTTTGACCCCACGAAAGGTTTTGATTGCCATCTGACAGCTACTTGTTACATACAATACATATTTAGAACTTGTTTTACCATTTTTAAAACATAAAATTTATTAATTAGTCTAATTTTGAAGGTTTTGTATTTAATATCTATAGGATCCTTAAATATTCCTGAATAAAGACGTCTGTTTATTGGTCGTGTACTCCAGTTGTACACAATCGAACCTGCTGTGGAAAATATTGGATATTCTAGCCCAGAGATAAGAGAGTTACAGAGATCGATTCACACCTATAATATGCGATAGTTTCCACAGCTTGTTCTATTGTGTACAAGTACTGTACACGACCAATCAGGAGACATCTGTATTCAGGGACATTTAAGGATCCTTGAATAGGAAATGCAAAATCTTTAAAAATAGACAATATTCATAAATGTTCTGTTTTAGGTTTATAATTGGAGTATTTTGTTAAAAGATGTATAACTTAACCCCTGAATGCAACAAATGGCCGTGAGATGTCAGTCAAAAAACATTACATGGAACGGTAGCATGGCGTGCCGGACACTATAGGCCTGCTCTGCCTAACCAGTCTGTGTTTTAGCCTTAAATAGAAATCTGTACTCTCTTATCTCTGAAACAATTCTACAATTTAGGAAAGATGTTGTACAAAAGTTGATTCTACACTGGCATCTGTACTCTGATACAAGTACACTGGATATGGAGGACCCATCTAACCAAAATATCAGGAACAATAACATTTTATTTATTTGATTTGATTTTAAAAAATCTTTATGATTTCAAATTAAAATAAATCAAAATAAGTAACTTCCAAAGTTCCACTTTTTGACAATGACATGTCGTTTTTACATTTTGCTCTTTATCTGTTTTTAATTGCATTTTTGTTTTATATACTCGTTTTTGATTTTATTTTCTTTGTTTTGCAAAACTTTAAAAAGTGTAAAATACTCTTTAAAATTGATAAGTGAAAACTCTTTAAATATGAATAAAAATGAATGTTTGTTTTAGTGAAAAGTTTGAGAATTGGGAGAAGTTCAGGTAGTTGGATGTACTATACTAATAATAATGCTATTAGCAATAGTAATGATATTAATAAATGATAACAATAAATAAAAATAAATATGATATTAATGAAAATAATAATAATATTAACAATAACTAATGATGACCATGATTTTAACCAAATTAGTTAAAATTGAGAAAGCTGTTTTTATGCATTTACTTTTTAAATCAATATTCAAACCATAAACTATACCTCTCCAGTAAGAATAAAGTTTTAAAGATTTGGTTATTAAAAATGAAAAGTAGAATTTAAAATTTAATGAATAGATTGAAATAATTTGAGAATTTGAAATTTCACAAGAATTGGATTAAAAAAATATTTTTTTCCTAACTATAATACTAAATAAATGTAAACAGAACTTCATTAGTTCAGATAAAAGAATTTCAACCATTTCTTAATAAATCGACAGATAAATCATAATTATTTATCTATAAGCTTTATCGATTGATGGTGTTCATTAGGATGAATTGGAATAAACATGTTGTTCATTAGGATGAATTGGAATAAACATGTTTTTATTGTTTTAGCCAAAAAAAATATTCTTTCTTTTTCTCTCTTGAAAAATACGAAGAATAGAAAGGACATTAAATATCTTATTAATGGCAAAACTAGGTTTAAAAATACTATTTTTTAACAGACTGAAAAGAATAGTGGTTAGTTCACACATATCCGTTATATTGCGGTTCAAAATATTGTGAAAATGGTTTAGCCTGATTTGTATATCTATGGGAATGATCAATTTTTACCACTGCACTGCAAAGAATTAGTTTTGGATATTAAAACAACATTTAGAAAAGACAAGTTTTTCGCAGGTTTTTTTAAAAAATTGATTAATTTACAAATGCAAGAGACATTTTTTTCAAAAAACATAAATATGGGCCTTAAGTTCACCGGCTCCAAATTTGAAACCAAATTCGACATATTAATTGCGGTTGCGGTCACGGATATTAGATCGAGGAGCCTGAAATTCGGCAAAATCTTTTGTTTTTACAGGTACAAGATATCCAAGGCACGGGCGTCGGGCAACCGTTGTACATTTGAATTTCCGAGCCGGGTTAACCTTTCCGGTCCCAGTTTGTACTGTACCTGGCTCTATGGACAGAACTAGCCGGTTCAACAAGGTTGACGCGGTTCGACTTTATGCTTCAAATAGGTTGAATTTACTTTTACTAAAGGAGCAGAGGTGCTTGAAGGTAGAGGGGAGGGTCAAATTCTATTAATATCTATACATTTATGACCCGAAAATAATGGAATCTGTTTTCAGATCTACTTTCAAAGAGTTTATCAAAACTTTTGATTATATTCGAGATCTTGCCGTAGACCATCCAGGGGATACACCGTTCATTTCTGCCAGGTACACTCAGATAGATAGATAAATAGATAGAAAGATAAATAGATAGATAGATAGATAGATATATATATATATATAATGATAGATATATAGATAGATAGGATATAAGGATAGATAGATATAGATATAGAGATAGATAGATAGATAGATAGATAGATAGATAGATAGATAGATAGATGGAATATGAGGATAGATAGATAGATAGATAGATAGATAGATAGATAGATAGATAGATAGATGGAATATGAGGATAGATAAATTTTGAAAATTTTCCTCTTTCTGTAATTTTAATTTTAATATGATTTCCAGGTTCGGTTCTGAAATATTGTCCGTAAATACAACTAGTTTTCTCCCATTCTTTGGAACAGACTTCGGATTCTGCTCTATCATAAAACCCCAGGTAAACTAGTGTTATAAACCTCAGGTATACCAGTGTTATAAACCTCAGGTATACTAGTGTTATAAACCTCAGGTATACCAGTGTTATAAACCCCAGGTATACCAGTGTTATAAACCACAGGTATACTAGTGTTATAAACCCCAGGTATTCTAGTGTTATAAACCCCAGGTATGCTAGTGTCATAAACCCTAGGTATACTAGTGTTATANGGAAAGTACGCTAGTGTTATAGACCCCAGGTAGGCAGGTACACTAGTGTTATGTATTCTAAAATAAAGTAAGAGACAGTTTAAAATAAAAACAATGAAACTGTTACGATTTATTTAAAAAGATTTTTAAACAACTCTAGCATTCTGTTTGAATATTTGAAAATAAAACTTAATTTTGATGCCAGGTGACTTTCGATCCCCGTTTATCTGGTTTGAGTTGGGAAAGAAAACTTCTGTATGGACCTGAGTACCCAGAGATATCCTACACTCACAGTTGGATTATACAACCTGGAGCTAAGGTATCCTACACTCACAGTTGGATTATCCAACCTGGAGCCAAGGTATCCTACACACACAGTTGAAGTATACAACCTGGAGCTAAGGTATTCTATACTCACAGTTGGATTATCCAACCAGGAGCTAAGGTATCCTATACTCACAGTTGGATTATCCAACCTGGAGCAAAGGTATCCTATACTCACAGTTGGATTATCCAACCTGGAGCGAAGGTATCCTATACACACAGTTGGATTATACAACCTGGAGTTACGGTATCCTATACACACAGTTGGATTATACAACCTGAAGCTACGGTATCCTATACACACAGTTGAATTATACAACCTGGAGCTAAGGTATCCTATACAAACAGTTGGATTATACAACCTGGAGCTACGGTATCCTATACACACAGTTGGATTATACAACCTGGAGCTAAGGTATTCTACACACACAGTTGGAGTATACTACCTGGAGCTAAGGTATTCTATACACACTGTTGGATTATACAACCTGGAGCTAAGGTATCCTACACACAGTTGGATTGAACAACCTGGAGCTAAGTTTTACATGAAAAACCAGGAATATTATTTATATTTATTTGAAAGAGAAACCATAGTTAGAAAAGTTTTAGAAGAATCCAAACCTATTCAAATATAAAGTTGTTTTTTTTTCAGGAAAATTATATCTTTTTATTTGCAAGAGAAACCATAGTTCAAAAATCTTTAGAAGAATCCCAAACCTATTCAATTATAAAGTTAATCTTTTTTATTCAGATATTAATCCTCAATTTTTGCGAAAAATGTCGTCGAAAAATATTTGATAGTGATTGTTACTAATCTTACTTCTATCGTTAAAAAATCAATTTAATTCCAAACAAATCATTCAGATAGTATACAACCTATTTTTTTCGACGCTTTCGTTTATAGTTGATATTTCATATTATTTTGACTTTTTAAAATTAATATTTCGCTTACAACATGTTATCACAGCTGGTGCTAGATTTTGAACATTCTTGGAAAATATGAAAATGTCGTCTTCATTATCAAAAATCTTCGGCACAGGAATAAATGTTATTAAAAGTAACTCGCGGATCATAAAAAATCAAAAATATGATAAAGTATCAACTTTATACACATGCGTCGAAAAAAAATCGATAATTATAGGTTGTAATATCTGGATGATTTGTATGGAATTAAATTTGTATGGACGCCACGTTCTTCGGTATGTGTCGATTTCAACAATTTTTTTCATATAGACGCAAAAGATAAAAGTAAGATTAGTGGCCATCACCATCGAATATTTTCGACGTAAGCCATGACCCCTTTTCATTTATGGCGAACACTCCCTTTACGTGGCCCTCCGTTTAAAAGGGGATATGATCGATTTACCATAGTACCCTTGAAACCTTTATTTTTTATCTTGATAAGTGTTATTTTTTAATAAATTTTAATTTTTAAATTATATATCATGTTATCATATCTTCCTTCTTTATTCTTTATTATTCTCTTTTGTTGACAGTTTCTCCGATTTCCCATTTTGGAAAAATGTGTTTTTAAAAAACATTGTAGGCCAGGATTTGCTGTACAGCTCAGACCTGCTTGGTGAACTTTACTTCTCATATTTTAAGATATTTATTTTCATCGGCTTCATTAAATAGCTTGATAATCCGATACTACTTAGATAGTTTTGTCTGACAATCTCTTTACAAAATTATACACATGTAGATATCTGATTCATAATTGATTGACAAGGTTTTTAAGGGTATACCTTTGTGAACAGGCATGCCATAATGCCACTCTATATAAATGAAGGGACACTTTAGATTTCGCTTACAGTCCCTTAGAAATAAATTGAAATAATTAAAGGTTGGAAAAACTAATGGATTTACAATGATGCTGGATGCAGAAACCTTTGACTACATGTACCAGGTATATATATATATATATCTGTGAAAAATTCTCAAATCATTGATACTGATGATTGCATGAAAGCATTAAACAATTTGTTTATGAATAAAATGTTATAAGAAGATTGTTGCGTTTCAACTGATATATATATATATTTATATATTACATAAATAGATGATTAACTTTCTGTGTATTTTTAAAATCTCAAGCATATATATATTATAGTTTATAAATTTATTTTATATATATAGATTAAATACTATGTATATTTGTATGTAAAGAACATATTGATTGATTTTTCAAGAGATTCAGGTTGCCAACAAAAGTCTGATTCTGTGTGGAAACCCAGTAATTTAGAAAAAACAAAACACGTGAAGGCTTTAAAATACAGTTCAGTTTACTTGCTACTTTAGATAAAACCTAGTGCAGGGTTTAATTAAAATACAGTTCAGTTTNGGGTTTGATTAAACTACAGTTCAGTATATTTGCTACTTTAGATAAAACCTAGTGAAGGCTTTAATTAAAATACAGTTCAGTACATTTACTACTTTAGATAAAACCTAGTGAAGGGTTTAAGATGTCTGTTCAGCATCATCTAGATCAACCCTTGATGTCAGTCAATGAAATAGATATCAGCCCGGGGTTTGAATCGCAGGTTCTTTTAATAAATATATTTGATTAATTTTGCAAACATGAACTCAACTAACTCATTCATTCTTGACACCGTTACGCAACAAAAATAGACTCCATCATCATTTTATCTTTTGTTGCCTCCTTTCTTTCATTTCTTTATGTCTGCCTTATTGTGTTATTCATTCTTTACTAATTTATTGCATTCATTCTTTGCTGCTTTATTGCATTCATTCTTTACTACTTTATTGCATCCATTCTTTTTGTTTTATTGCATTCATTTCTGACTGCTTTTTTTCACGCACTCTTGACTGCTTTATTGCTTGAATTATTGATTGCTTCATCATATTCATTCTTGACTGCTGTATTGCAATAATTCATGACTGTTTCATTACATTTGTTCTTGACTTTTTTATTGCATTCATTTCTGACTGCTTTCTTGCACGCATTCTTTCACATTCATTCATAATTTCTTTATCACATTCATTCATGATTGCTTTATTGCAGTCATTCTTGTTTGTTTTATTGCAATCATTCTTGACTGTTAATTACATTCATTCTTCACTCTTTATAACATTCATTCTTTACTGCTTTATTGCATTCATTCTTTACTGCTTTTTTGCATTCATACTTGACTGCTTTATTGCATTCATTCTTTACTGCTTTATAACATTCATTCTTTACTGTTTTATTGCATTCAATCTTTACTGATTTATTGCATTCTTTCTTGACTTATTCATTGCATTAATTCTTTACTACTTTACTGCATTCCTTCTTGATTTCTCTATCGCATTCATTCTTGACTGTTTTCTTGCATTCATTCTTGACTTATTTATCACATTCATTCTTGACTTATTTATCCTATTCATTCTTGACTTATTTATCACATTCATTCTTGACTTATTCATCCTATTCATTCTTGACTTATTTATCACATTTTTTTCTATCTTGACGAAGGAACTGACTCTTTGTTACAAAACCTTTAACATCTCAAACTTAGATTATTTGATATCTCATAATTCATAGTTTGAAATATCTAACGTACACAAAATTCGGTTGCTCAGATATAGAGAGTAGAAATTCAGAGTTTGTGGCAAAGACTCCATTCCTTTGTTAATAGTTTCCCTTCAGGTTGCAGTGAACCCGACACTGTACACCACCACACCAGAAGCTATATAGTAAGTTTTAGATAAACTTTAAAATATTTTTTAAAATGTCGTAACTGTTAAAAAACAAAATATTTAATTGGTAATGTCTTTAACCGAAAGCAATTAAGGATTCTAAAAGTTAAGGTTAGAAGGTTGGAAGATATTTGTTTTTATATTCTTGAAATCCTAGCTCGAGAACACTATTTTTCATTGTTTCTCTGTTATTTTTTTTTTCAACAAATATTTGTTATATTATCTGAAAAAACAGTTTGCTTTTCCTTAAACCTAAAACAGGCTTTTATTGGTTGTGGAGTAATAATGGTTGTGGAGTAAATCTCTTTTCTTAGAGAATTGACAAATTGCAATTCTGTTTTAAATTCTGTTCTGAATATTTTCTGAATTCTGTTCTAAATTCTGTTCTAAATATTGTTCTGAATTCTGTTTTGAAACCTTTTCTGAATACTGTTCTGATTTCTGTTCGGAAATCTATTCGGAATTCTGTTTTGAATTATGTTCTGAATATTGTTCTGAATTCTGTTCTGAACTTTGTTCTGAATTTTGTTCTGTATTCTGCTCTGAATATTTTTTTTAATTCCATTTTAAATTCTGTTCTGAATTCTTTTCTGAATTATTTCTGAATGCTGTTCTGAATATTGTTCTGAATTATGTTCTGAATTATGTTCTGAATTATGTTCTGAATTATGTTATGAATTCTGTTCTGATTTTTGTACTGAATTATGTTCTGAATTCTGTTCTGAATAATGTTCTGAATTATTTTCTGAATTAGGATCTGTAAAATGACCCAACTAACCTAGAGCAGAAATGTCCCTTTCCTTTATAAGAATGTTAACCACCATTCTTCATTCAGTATATCGTGTGCTGTATGTAAACACACAAATTTCCTGATGGTGTAATAAATCAGAAACAAACTGCCTTTTAAATCAGAGATACTTGTGAGGAAGTCCGGTTTTGATTGGAAGAAATACAGTGTGACTTAAAATTTGGTTTAAATTTATGTACTAGCTAGTTCACATTTATCTCCAAGTAGGTTTACATTCGTCTTCTAGTTGGTTTACGTTTATCTTTTAGTTGGTTTACATTGATCTTCTAGTAGGTTTACATTTATCTTCTAGTCAGTTTACATTTATCTTCTATTCGGTTTACATTGATCTCCTCGTAGGTTTACATTGATCTTCTAGTAGGTTTACATTTATCTTCTAGTCGGTTTAATTTATCTTCCAGTCAGTATACATTTTTATTCTAGTCGGTTTACACTTATCTTCTAGTCAGTTTACATTTATCTTGTGGTCGGTTTACATTTATATTCTTGTCAGTTTACATTTATCTTCTTGTTGGTTTAGATTTATTTTCTAGTCAGTTTACATATATATATCTTTTAGTCGGTTTACATTTATCTTCTAGTCAGTTTACATTTTCTTCTAGTCGGTTAACATTTATCTTCTCGTTGGTTTAGATTTATTTTCTAGTCGGTTTACATTTATATATTAGTCGGACTTGGTTTACATTTATCTTCTAGTAGGTTTACATCGATCTTCTAGTAGGTTTACATTTATCTTCTAGTCAGTTTACATTTTTCTTTTAGTCGGTTTACACTTATCTTCTAGTCGTTTTACCTTTATATACAAGTCGGTTTACATCGATCTTCTAGTAGGTTTACATTTATCTTCTAGTCGGTTTACACCTGAAGAGAGGGGATGCTACTCTCAAAAGGAAATATTAATGAACCATCTCCCCGACGGAATGTACAGGTAAAATTTATAAATACATGGTGTCCCTCATCATATTGGATTAAATAAAGAGCGAGGATTCCATGGATAACGATGTTTAATGTGTAGATAAGATAGATATTTCCAAGAAATTGGATAAATCATCTACATAATCATTGTCATTCACAATAGTCTCACTATAAGGGGATGATTCATCAGAGGTGTACTGTCTTTTCATAATTTGTTTGTTTATTGACAAATTCCTCTTGTTGCAAAGAGGTCTGCTCGGTAACTTAAAGGGAGTGTTCGCGAAAAATGAAAGGGGGTATATGAGTGATGACGGATTGAATTCTATATCGATCGCTACTAATTTTACTTTTGAAATAATATAAATCTAAAGTAAAATTAGTAGTGATCAATGTAGGCACAAACCCCCCTTTCATTTTTTGCAAACACTCCTTTTACATAAACTAGAGTTTTCAGTAATGCTCCCTTCTATGGCTGATCTCATTCTCTAAAAGATCAACTTGTAATTTTTTCATGAATATTTTCAACTTATTCCATACTTGGTCCGTTTCTCCAGTTTAAATAACTGCACATTGGTTTAAACCAAGGAGTATGGGACGTAAGGGAGACACAACTGACGCGGCCCGCCCTACCATATGATTATATATGCTTTGTAGACGGTACTTCATTTAAATAAGAAAAATTTGTCTGCTGTACAATTACCGCGTATACAATAACCTATTCTGAATATTTCTTATACAAATGGAGTACCGTTTGCAAAGCATGTATAATCATATGGTAAGGCGGGCCGCGTCAGTTGTGTCTCCCTTCTATTTCATACTCCTTGGTTTAAACTTTAAATCCCGAGGTTCGGATTTCTAGGAATATGCAAAACTCCTTTTCATGTATGCTAATTTATGTAAAGCTTTTATTCAAAGAGTATATCGGATTTTAACATTTTTTTCTCTAACTTTACATATTGATGCTTCAAAAGGTTTTCATCTGAATTGGCAAAATAATTACTTTATATATTTGAATTTCAATCATTTTCTTAGGCAACAATATTGGAATGTAACTAAAAATAAAATTAAAGTATATTCTATTTTACAGATATGACATCGGTAATTGTTTTTTTGAAGCTGCCTATTCCAAGGTAATATTTACACAATTTATGTAAATAATGTTGCTGGGTAAATGAGTAGATTCAATTTTTCACAATTTATACAAATAATGTTGTGTGGTAAATGAGTAAAAACAATTTTGCACAATTCATGCAAATAATGTTGTGGGGTGAATTAGTAGATACAATTTTACACAATTTATGCCCATAACGTTGCGGGGTGAATTAGTAGATACAATTTTACACAATTCATACAAATAATGTTGTGTGGTGAATGAGTAAATACAATTTTACACAATTCATACAAATAATGTTGCGGGGTGAATGAGTAAATACAATTTTACACAATTCATACAAATAATGTTGTGTGGTGAATGAGTAAATACAATTTTACACAATTCATACAAATAATGTTGTGGGGTGAATGAGTAAATACAATTTTACACAATTCATACAAAAACTGTTGTGGGGTATATTAGTAGATACAATTCAAGTTCTTATAATTATGATTTTTTATAAATTACATCGTTTTTAAACGTTTCTGCGTTTACGTTAATGAATTGTCAATCTATTTTTGGCCCAGATTTTGGAGGAATGCAAGTGTACACCATACTTCCACTGGGGTCCTGTTCCACTCGATACAATTACATCAACAAGACCATTTTGTAAGGTAAATATTCCAAAAAAAGGTGCCAAATCACGTCAAAATTGAGTATATAGAGGAAAGATATAGGAATTTGAAATACAGTTTGTGGCAAAAATGAAGTTTATTAAATTCAACTTGAATGGAAATTTTACCCATTTTTTAATTAAAACTCATTTTATTAAGAGATATATTACAAAGGGTAAAATTGCGTTGATTTCATTTATAAAATCAATTTACTTACTTTCTTAATTATGCGCAAAATCACAAAGTCGCATAATTTGATCAAGTTCTTTAATTTCTAGTCGAGGATGAAATGTTTAAACATAAAACCAATTACATTTTGCATCTCTGTCTTTTTTTTGTGTGCAATAGAAACAATATTAGAAAATACTTTTTGAGAAGCCTTCCCCTAGTTTTTTTGTTATTAATTTTATCTTGGAACTTTTTGACGCTAAAGAAATGCATATGAACATAGTAAATACTAAATATAGCTAACTTATTTATAATCTATTATGTTTGGTTCATAAAATTCGTTTTATGATCTCCATGCATTGTGTTCCACAAATTGATTTTATAAAAAAGGAACATAAAAATAGAAGAAACATTATTCATACGATGTTTCATCTCATAATCTAAAAATATAAATATTATGCCAGTCTATCTGTCCGTTAGGATCTAATAAACTTCAAAATGGCTGAACAGATCGAGTCAAATTTTTTTGTGGGACGGCAAATGTTATGGACGGTCAGAACTAAAATAATTGGCCTTAAAAAAAGTTTTATTTTTTAAATCCACTAAAAATTATAAAAGACTAAAAATCTAATATTGGGACGAAGCGCCCTGGTATTAAATACATATATCCATAATTGTGTCATATTGAGAATTAGAATATGTCAGATATCAAACTCAAAATCTGTTGGAAAAGAAAGATCCTCACTTTGTTTCCCATTTGGAGGAAATTTAATTTTACTTTCTTTGTATACTTTAGAAATTTAATCACATTAACAGATGAACACTTTTGAGAGGAGATGAGTTTAGAACAAAAATAAAAAAATTTCATTTAATAATAAAAATATAATTTCATAGAAAGGAAAAAGAAAAGAATCGAGGTAATAATAAATTATTGATCAACATCAATGTTGACTGAATTTGTGAATCCTACACGTTAATCTACACTCCACGGTCCCTTAAACAGAAATCAAATCTTTGATATCCATCTATCTACAAAAAAACTTTATTTTTATTTTGTAGGCGGAGACCCTACTCTGTATGAACGAAATCCTTGGAAAAATTGGAGAATATAAAGAGGAAACATTAAGAATAATTCAGAATATTTCCCCCTCATAATTTTTAAAGAAGTATGGGGGGGCTCATTCCATTAACATTATGTTTACTTACTTCTACTAGTTTCAGTAGAAGTAAATATTTCCATTTATTGATAGCGCCGATATAAGGATTTATCTCTAATTGGATAATGAGATAGATAGAAAGATAGATGTTATCGCCATGCAATTTCCATTGGTTCAGAATAGACAACAAACACATGGCTGAACCCTGATTGGATCAGGCGTTAATGAACCCGGCATACTAGAGTGTTATATAGTTTGTCTATTTTCTAAATGTTGAAGCTGTTAGATCAAGTATGGATCCAAAACATTTCCTTGTTTGGCGGCTTGTGAAGACCAAACAAACGAAGTATCAATATCTCAGAGTACATTACCAAACAGGTATCCTTCCAATACCAAACAGGTATTCTACCAATTAGATATCCACCAAACAGGAGTTCTACCATAAAATATGCACCAAACAGATAAGATATCCAACAAACAGGTATTCTACCATAATAAATGCACTAAACAGAAAAGATATCTACCAAACAGGTTTCCTACCTATAAGATATCCACCAAACAGGTTTTCTACCTATAAGATATCCACCAAACAGGTTTCCTACCTATAAGATATCCACCCAACAGGTTTCCTGCCTATAAGTTATCTACCAAACAGGTTTCCTACCTATAAGATTATCATCAAACAGGTTTCCTACCTATAAGATTATCATCAAACAGGTTTCCTACCTATACCAAACAGGTATTCTACCACTAAGATATGCACCAAACAGATAAGATATCCACTAAACAGTTATCTATAAATATAAAGTATAATACTCTCTGTTTTGTTTGTTTTCATGCATGATTATAACTCATAAACTTTTGACAGTTTGCCCTCAAATTTTAATTGGGGAAGTTGGTTGAACCATAAAAATGTTTTTAATTGGTTTTAAAGTTCTAACTTTATTAATTTTCTAAATCAAGTCCTTTTTAAGGTATATTTACAGGATAAAGTTTGGTATTGTAGTCAAAACTTTATATATTCTCTTGATTGTTTATGTGCTGTTCATTGGTTTATGTGAACAATCAATATATGCATCGAGTACAAGGAACAAAGAAAAGTATTTATATTTTATACCACCCATAGGAAAATTGGTAATTAGGTAAAAATATTTCCTTATTATAGCCATGCAAGAAAATATTAATAAAATTTGGGTCTTTCCTATAAGAGCACGATTTTTGGACCCCCCAAGGATGAAGCTATAATCTGATATGGTATTTGTGGTCAACTTGGTCATACAAATTTTATATATTACAGTTAACTAACAAATCTCTGTATATTAAATTTATCTTATTTAATTAGGGAAACTTTGATTCAGAGACCTGAGTTTTGTTTACTAGTCTACAGGCTGGAAAAAAGCTGTAAGGTAATATCCTTAACTGAACCAAAGGGGAGGGGTGGGGGGTTGGAGAAAGGCCCTCATAAACAGTTCAAAAGGACTGCAACCACAAATGAAAATAAATAGTTTTCCTTGCATGGAGGGTCATTTGAAATTACGCTTACAGTCCCTTTTATCCCCCCCCCCTAGAATATTATATACGAATGTAAAGTAAATTTTCCGAGCCGGGCCAACCTTTCCGGTCCCAGTTTGTACTGTATCGTCCGGACATTTGGTAAATGAAGCAGACACTCAATAGGACTAGCCGGTGCGACAAAGGTTTTGCACCATAAATAAGGTTGCAAAGATTAGAGACATTATAAATTTTGAGTTTGTGGCAAGAGTTAATTTCTTTTTTCCGGTCCCATTTTTTTTCTTTTTTTGAACTACTATTACTGTTGATTTGATGATAATCCCAGGCCAAGGGCCAAGACCTTCGAGAACTCCTTTTTAAAGGGGGGTGATCGTCAAAGTGGGTGTTCAGCTGAAAGCATCATAGAATAAAATCAAAATATATATTTCCTTTTCTACCTTTTCGTGTTATGTCTTTTTTCTTTCCTTTTCCTTCACTGTTGACGGATTATTTCTTTAACCATTAAAAAATGTGTTTTTATTGAAGGGATTTAAAAGAGAAGGCTTGGATGAATACTACCCTGGAATGTGTAGCAGGTTAAGTCATAAAATTCGAAAAAAATAACATTCAGCTAAAAAAGGTGTGTTTTTAAAAGCAATTTTTCGCGTAAGAAACGTCGTTTTATTGTACTATGAAGTGTTTCTAGTCCAATGCTTATAAATGGGAGGATTGGGGCGGAGTCGTCGATTTGCTATTGTCGTTTTAACCTTCCAAAAGGAGGGCTAATATTCGAAAATGTGCTCGGTCTCTTTTTTAAAGATATATCATTTATATGCAAAACTCGGTGATGGTGATGGACCAAACCTCGGAAGAGTAAATAAAGTAGATAATTCCACATTTTATTAAAAATATATTTTCGGCTGGGGTGACCCTCGTCAGTTTCTGTGATGAAGATTAAAAACAAAAATTTATATTCTATTTGCAAAATTTTAGCTTACTAACTAGATTTCGCAATAAATATTTGGATTTTTGCAAATTTGCCATTTTTTTGAAGATTATTGAAGTAGAGCTCAAGGGCTTTCCGAAGACGTATCAAATGTTATAGATTTGTATCACAATAAGAAAATAGAGGGGGGGGTCAATTTGACATTCCCCCCCCCCCAGGGACCAGGAATGAAACCAGACGGTACATAGGGTTTAAAATATTCAGAATTCAAGTCGGAATATTGGAAGGACTTTGCTCGGAGGAAGATAAAACTGGATACATACACAGAGCAAACCATACAGGTATACTGAGAGCAAACCACACAGGTATATATAGAAAGAGTCACGGAAGTTCGTAGTAAGATTTTCACTCCACTGGAGACCACCGGAGGGAATTCATTTTCACTGGAGGGGTTTAAAAAAATTCTTTTTACAATTTGAAACTTTACGCAGGGTGATTTACATTCCACTGGAGGGATTCAGTTATCTTTCCTGTGGGTTTATAATTCCACTGGAGGGATTCAGTTATCCGTCCTAGGGGTTTATAATTCCAATGGAGGGATTCAGTTATCCTTCCAAGGGGTTTATAATTCCACTGGAG